TACAAGTGTCGGTGCGTGATTAAGTCAAATACACAGGTGACACGTGGATACTTTAATTAGTTGATTGGTATTTATATCAGAATGTTTCTTTTATTAACTTAATGGATAAAATATAAATAAAACATAAAAATATTATGAATTAAAGAAAGTTAATTGATATAAATTAATTATATACATTGTAGAAGTCAGATATTTTTTTATTCATAACAGTTTTCTATTCTCCCGTTCTATACATTTATTTCGTCAGCGTTTTCCCTCTATATCTATATCGTCCGCTTTTTCACTATATGTCTATATTGTCCGCGTTTTCTATTTCGACTTGATGAAATATGGTATAAAGTATCATGTGTATGATTAAATTAAACACGTGCAGGATTATACAAGTGACACGTGGACACTTTATTTAAATAAAAAAAATGGAATCAGTATATACATAAATATATAATTTATACATTTCTTACTGTTTTATTGTTTGGTAGAACATAACATGATTGTTCATATATTATTCAGGTTGATAAAGATTACAAAGGGGGATATCATTGATATGAACTTACCGAAAAATATGGAGCAACTTCAAAAATGTCCTCTTCGAAACAAAACTGGCGTGTTTTATATCCAGGATAGGAAAACACACTGTACGAATGTTGACACAAATAATCACTCATATATTTTACTTGACTGTGTCCTACAACGAATGCCATTTTAACAATGCCTTAGTGAAAACACTTTATACAATATTTTACACAATTACACTTTAAATGTTAAAGAACACAATAATTTAATAATCCAATTCAAATTAACACTTTGTAAGCAATGGAATGAATTCAAAGCATGTAACTTTTTTTTGGAAATGAGGGATGTGCACAAAAATTGACCGTATATATACCTTACCATTAACAGTTTTACCATTAAATAAGTTTAATATGAATTTAACTATGCTCAGTCATTTTACACTATATATCTATATCGTCCGCTTTTTTCCTCTTTGTCTATATCGTCAGCGTTTTCCCTATATGTTTATATTGTCCGCGAATTGCGTATGCAAACTGTTCAAATATATTCAAACTAATTCTTGTGCCCTTATTCAGTTTTCCGCACGTGACTGTTGCATGTTTTGTACTGTTTAATTAAAAGTTATTAAGTCAATTAACATGAACAAATAAAAAACATAAATTTAAGAACTTGAACAAATAAATAAACTAAAGTCTTTTTAATTATTATAAGAATTTGAACAAATAAATAAAATAAAGTCTTTTTTAATTATTATAATTAATACATCTTTCAGATATTACTTTATAAAAGCCAATTATTAGCCTTTAATATGAATTTAACTATGCTCAGTCATTTTACACTATATATCTATATCGTCCGCTTTTTTCCTCTTTGTCTATATCGTCAGCGTTTTCCCTATATGTTTATATTGTCCGCTTAAGGCGTCCGCGTTTTAGACTGCGCCTAAATCAGTAATCCACTGAAAATCATAAAATAAATTTGTTTTTTAATTTAAGCTTTAACATGATATCACCTAAAATGTTAAAACTGCTGATTTTATAATTTACTTATTAATATTCATGACTAGGCCATAATTATATTCCCAAAGTTTTTTTTTCTTACAGCTGCGCTTAACAATGGATGCCCCTTGTCACTTGATATGCAATTATCCAATAAACCATTTAGGTGTCACCTTCCCTGGCCAGCATGGTCATATAGTCTAGTGCACTAGAAGTGCACACGGTGTGCACTTCTAGTTCAGCTCTAGTGCACTAGAAGTGCACAAGGGTGGGAAGTTTAGTGTGAACTCAACTGTAGGTTTTCGAATTCGTGAATTAAACAGGTGAAAGTCGAAATAAGTTTACATTTTGGCATAATTCCTTTCATACTTATAATCTATTCCGCATAAACGACATATATTGATGATATAACTCACCTGACTAAATGAAATTTCTATAAATATTCATCGGAATGTACCTGTAACATTCAATTGAAAACAGTTGGGAAATCTTTTTACGACGCGGTCCGTTGCTATGAAAAACTGACCGGATGTAGTATTTTTTCCGGGCGATACTAAACTGCTGACGAATTAGCTGACGATATAGATATATAGGAAACTGCTGACCAGTTAAATAAAGTACAAGCATCTTCATTAGTAAGATTCATTTTTTTCAGCAAGTGATTTGTTCCTAGTATTCTATGATTAATCCTAAATTGGAACCAAGTTATTTTGGGGTCTTTAGTAAATTTATAACTCATATCATATATTGAATTCCTTTCAAAAAATCCTGGTTCTGTGATATCTCTTAATTCATCTTGCCATTTTTGTAAAGAATTAGGAAAATGACCTGCATCTTGCATTGCTTTATAGATTGATTTACACCCTTTTTTATCCTTAATTATTAGTGCTAGAGTTTGCGGAATATGTGTATAGAAGCTAAGTTTTTTTAGCAAATGTTGCATATTATTTACTTCAAGGAATTCATTTACAGCTGTTAACATACCTCTATATTCCAAAAAGTTGCTCCTTATATTATAAGTTTCCAAAAATTCAGTATATGTGTAAAAATCTCCATTTTGATTTAAAAGATCACCTAAAAACAGAACTCCTTTAGAGATCCATCTATTAATACAAACACTTGAATTTCCAACTTTAATTCCTGGGTTAAGCCATAAATGAACTGAAAAACATTGTTTACTATTTTCTGGTTTTACATTTAGAGATAAAACATAATAGCTATAAAGAACATCTTTCCAGAATGGATTAATATCTAAATGTAGTTTTGTTTTTATATAATCTGACCCATATTTGGAGATATGGTTTACATATGGACATATACTATCTACTAAAAAACTAAATTTGTTATTTAAATTGGACAGCCTTCGTATCCATGTTACTTTTAGACTATTACTAAATTTTTTTTAAATCTACCATTTTCAACCCTCCAAACTTGTAGTCTTGGGTAATAATATTCCTTTTGACTTTATCTACAGAATTATTCCATATAAATTTGAAGAAAAGGTTCTGTATGGTGGTAATTTTGTCCAAGGGTGGATTTGGTAAACTCAAAAATAAATGATTTAACTTTGCAAGAGCAAGGGATTTTACAACAACCAGTTTTCCTATTGGAGAAAGGACTCTTTTAGACCAGTTCGCAAATAATCTCTTGATTTCTTCAATTTTTAAGTCAAAATTTAAATCTATAATTTCAGATAAATCTGTAGTAAATTTAACACCTAGAACTGTAAAGATTTTTTCGTTCCATGACAGATTATACTCTGGACAAAGAATAACATTACTGTTTTTTTCCGATCCAAACCAGATAACTTTTGTTTTATCTACATTAATATTAAGGCCTGAGATTCTAGCATAAAATTTTAATGTTAACATTGTGTTCTTAAGAGATTTTTTTGTACCATCTAAAAACAAACTAGTGTCATCCGCATATTGGGATATCTTGTATTCTTTTCCACAGATTTTTATACCTTTTATATTTTTATTGTTTCTTATCATGATTGAAAGAATTTCAGCACATAGAATGAAAAGGTAAGGCGACAGAGCATCTCCTTGACGACAGCCTCTCTGTAATAAGAACCATTCAGACATATGTCCATTTACAATCACACATGATTCAATATTGGTATAAAACAATTTAATCCAGGTTTTAATAGAATTGCCAAAATTGAAAAAGTCTAAAACTTGGTACATAAAGTTCCAGGAGACAGTATCAAATGCCGCTGCAAAGTCAATTAAAAGTAATAAACCAGGCATATTATTTTTTTCTGTATAAAAAAGCAGATCATATAACATTCTTATATTTGATGCCATTAGTCTACCTGGTAAGAATCCAGTTTGGTCTTCATTTATAATATTAACTAATACATTTTTAATACGAAAAGCGATTGAGGCAGAGGCTACCTTATAAGCAACATTTAATAAAGAAATAGGTCTCCAATTTTTTAAGTAAAGTTTATCTTTATTACCTTTGGGTATACAGGTTATGACTCCTTGTATATATTAATTTTGTTTAATTATTTATTAAAAATAGTCATATAAATGTAAAAATTACAAATATAAATAAAGAATAAAAGTATTTTCCCGTCTTTTTATTACCCCCTACGGCGTGTTTATATAACTTCACACCTACAATGTTTTCCCTTCTTTGTTTAACTGGTCAGCATTTTCCGATAATCCTTCTTTATTTAACTGGTCAGCAGTTTCCTATATATCTATATCGTCAGCTAATTCGTCAGCAGATTAGTGCGACCCATTTTTCCCGCGCATGCGCAATCAGCATAATATTCAAAAGGCATGCAGGAAAGAGCAGTCAGACGAGATTTTCACATTTTCCGACAAGCTTATATATTATTGTTTTGATTATACATGTAAAATATTTATATCATAATTCATTTATGCATTTCTATATGCTGACAATTTTTTTAATATTGAAAAAATGTTAAAACAATAATAGAATACCATTAGATCTAATTAGTAAGCTTTGACTTGGGTATATTTATGCGAATGCCCTTCATACAAAAATATAGATAATGATGCTATTTTTAATATATCTAAAAGAATTGAAATTGATTTACGTACATGTTAAATCAACTGTTTGATAATATGTACAATACGTATCCACACACGCTGAATATACCTATTTAAAGTCAATTGTTACCAAATGATATTGGGTTCTGTCAGGTATTAAAGAACAACGACATCCTTGTCAATGCAGTTTGTCACACGTTTTAATTGCTGAATAGAACTCGTTTAAGTCACTATTCGTCTATTTCGTCATGTCTTTTTGTATATACTTTATGATAAATTGTTTGAAAACGTGTTTCACTAACACACTGCTTTTTTTTTGTTTTTGTTTTAAATTTTCTTCATTTATAGTGCAAAATATATCAAATCTAAATCGGGATAGGTGTAAAATTGTTCCATGGTGTCTGATATATTCTAAAGTTACTCTTTAGTTTATAGAATAATTGATGTATAATATATCCAAAAAAAAATATTCTGGTCCGAAATGTCCAAAACAATGGTCCGAAGTGTCTAACACATGATCCGAAATGTCCAACACATGGTCCGAAATGTCCAAAAATCTGGTCCGAATGTCTCTAAATATGGTCCGAAGTGTCCCAAAATCTGGTCCGAAATGTCTGGTCCGAAATGTCCTATTACCAATCAGCGTATGGCAGAAAGTAGAGAAAGTGCGAAGACATTGTAGAAATTGAGCATTTTATTGCGCATTTTATAAGACAAATACAATTTTTTTATTCAAAAGTATTATTAAAAATGCCTTCGTCGTGTAGTGCACTAGGTTGCACTACCAGGATAGAGAAAGGTGGTGAAATCAAGATGTTTAGATGTTTGATATTTATAATTTTGTAATGCTTTCGATTTAAGTTTGTAAATGTTCCTGAGATCGAATGAAACGTTGATTGTTTTCAAAGGCTAGAATAAAATTAATTAATATTTCCACTCATTTAGTGCGCAGTAAAAATTAAAATAATAACTGATATTCGGCCCAAAGCGATTGCAGTAACGCATTTGCAAACAAACCCTAATATGTAAGATTTTTCGGAGATAAAACCAGATACGTATGTTAATATATATACCTGATAAAACTGATCAGGTAAAAATTATTTACTTGTTTACTACTACAATATAGTGTAGTAGATTTTTTAGCAAGTAGAAGTACATCCGTTTAAACGGTATCGTTTCGTTTTGTTAACAATCGTTCCAACGTTAACATAAAAAATGTAAACGCGGGAGCCTTACGTGTTGTACTATGTATAGCTAACCACAGAATAGTTCAAAATAAGTAAATATAATTATTATATACATAATATACATGTATAACAAAAATGATGCGGAGTGGCCGGCTGATTAACGCATCGTACTATATTGCTGTCCGCGGGGTTCAAACTCCTCCAAAGGCAAGCTGTTGTTTCCGACTTTACACTCATTGCTTAGAACATGCTGAATCTAGGAATAGATTCGAGTGTGTTTCAGTAAGCTTATAGCTTCCAACATAATGGAACTAAGATAGATTCTTATAAACTAAAACGACATTTTAATCCGAGTTATTAGATTTTAGTTTATTTAGCATAACGTACATAGTGTGTTTACAGCGTTATTTTCCCATGTTTAAGATAAATATGTTATGTTTTCAAACCAAGTTCGGTATACATCTGCTTTAAGTTCAAATAAGAAGATTGAATGAAAGTTGATTGTGATTTCAATATGACAATTTTCATTGTTTTCCGATAGTTACAATGTACATGCGTTGTTGTTTAAATTTGTTTTCTTCTTGTGCTTGCTTACAACAGCTGTAACCAATGCAATGCTTATAAGAATTGAACAAAATGATTTGTTATTTCCTGGAAGAATAAATAAACAAAAGAAACTGGATGACAGTGTATGTGTGAAAATTAGTAGTAAAATTATGATGAAGATGATGTATTTAAATTTGCACATTGTTTTGATTATTTTTTGTGAAATGTGGTAAGAATTTCTATTTTGACATCATATTCAAATATACAATTTAGGAATTACATGATTTAAAAAAGTTAAACAATACCGTGTTTTCTTTGTGTAATAAAGATTACTGTCAAATGTGTAAATCGTTTCCAATTTTGAAATTTATATATTTTCGAGAATAGTGTTTTTATGCCCCCAGACATACAAAAATTGAACCGGCCGTCTCTCCGTCCATCCGTACGAAGTTAATTCAATGTGGCCATACCACGTGACTTTTCGGGTACGGAACACGCCGATTTTTCACCCGATTCAGGTATGTTTTTTATTCATAACTTATTTATTACTCAACCGATTTTGATCAGATAAGGCGCAGAGTACCCGTAATTATATCAGCTATCCACGGTATATCAAAATTCTGAAAACCCCTGAATGGTTTTTGAGAACATTCGAGTACAGTTTTCTTTTCATTACCTGGGCCGAGGGGAACGGTACACACTCATTTGGCATAACAGGCGATTTCTAGCAAGTCATATGTTTTTTGACACTATTTCATAGAAAAATGTATGTTAAATCTGATATATTTACTATGTCCAATGTATCGAGTGAATGCAGTGATGTTTTAGCATATTTTCATAAAGTTATGTTGAAATGGTAGGGATCAAAAGATACGGTACACACACAATTTCAGTCTTAGAAACAATTCTAAAATAAAATATATTAAAATTTAATTTCAATTATAATAGTGATTTTTTTCATAGTTATTCATTTTATTAATTTAAACGAGAAGCCAGGGACCTGTTTTGCAATGTATCATAATGCTTACTTTTAATGTTTATATGTATTTGTGCACTATAGTTCAAGAGATCACGCTTAACATTTACAACCTCCATGTAATTGTCTTATTTAAAATCACCTAGGGTATGTTAAACACTTCGATCTTCACAAAATCAGGTAGTTGCGCTCTATAGAAAGAAAATGTTGTTATATAATGCTGTGTTTATTGTTGTTTATTGTTGTTTTTTATTTCTTTTAGTTTAAGTGAAGTAAGATATGTCTTTTTGCTTCATCCTGAAAAAATAAAACAAGGTCATGACCTAAATCGCTGAAAAGTATCATTACTTGATAACAATTTATATATATTTATATTTTGTTAATAATAAGCAAGTCATTAGGTACAATTTTGCAATATCATGGTCATGTTTAATTAAATCAAATCACAGAAGGCGCTGAATTTGTTTGGGTCTCAGAATGTCAGAAAGGTGAAGGCTGTGAGATTGTAAACCAATTTGTTTTTGTATAGTGCCACAAACCGCTTCCAGGGGTTCGGACTACTTTCTTATTTTGCAAATAAGCATATCAGGGCCTGAAATTTTGCTTCCATTCTTTGTTTGGTCTGACGACCCAAACAAATAAAAATGTAGTCGCCATTGCTTAAATTTTTAATGTTTAAAGGCATGAAGCTTTAAAAATAACTTTTAATTCGTGTAATTAAGTCATTTTTGGTTTGGTTCCACGGCTCATAAAACTGACATTATCATGTGCCGCTGCAAAACCGAAAGTAGGGTGTTTTTATGATTTTTTTCATTTATTTTGACAATATACTGCCATTTGTCCGAAGATGATATGTATATAAAGTTTATAAACATATTAAATATGTATGATGCATATATAATCAAGCCATAGGTTCATTTCAGCCCGAAAAATATGTCGAGGTGATGGGCGAAACAAGACGTTGCAGTACATGAAAATCGGGCACATAACAAATCAGCAAATTAATAAAACATTCTAGTGTTCCGTGGTATACATCTTTCCTACGTGTCATGCCTCCTTTCCTTATTACAATGAAATTTTACTGTATTGTTATCCATCGCTGGTTTGTTTTTAGCAGAGAATGACCTGTGCATGTTCAAAGAGGGTACCGTTTGAGCAGATTTCTCAAAGAGGGTACCGATATGGATATGCACCGTGTTCATTTAGTATATAGAACAGAACAGAACGCAGCCTCCAAAATCCATAGCTTTTGATTGACAAAATGGGTATTATTAAAATATCATTTTAGTTTTAACACAAACACGCAAGCACACATATCCATGAACTCAAGTGTTAAATGCATCTTGAAATGAAAGTCCAAGATAGGCATAATTTTACCAAATTTCCTAACATGTATATCCTTACATGTATATGTAACAAGGTTACCTTGTATAAACTACGTTACGATATATAACAGACCTTGTTCCCATATGGGTTCTTCAAATTATTAATTTTGATTGCACGAAAAACTGCGAAATATATTTGTCCATATGTAGATAATTTGATAATTTAGATACATGCAGTTAGTTTGGGACCCTGGCAGATGATTCATACCAAATATCATGTGGCCGAAAAAAATTAAACTTTCCGTGATTTAAAAAAAAATCCATTTACATCAAAACCAGCGTTTTTTCTCCAAATTCGATTATTTAAACAACATTTTGCAAGGAACATATATTTCCAACTTACTCCTAACTTCTTGTTTGTTTATATTTCATACTACGTTTAGACAGTCATTTATATATCCGAACAAACAAATTAAATGAAATAATAATCGCACATAACAGATGTCCTTGAATTTCACAATTCGTTTTATAATCCAAAAGAATATACCTAATTGTTTAATGTGAAAATCAAAACAAAACAAAATTTTGAATGTCTTCCGTATCCCTCCCTAAAATTTTAACATTTTATAGCCAAATATTAATTGCTCAACATATAAAATCAAATTTTGCGCAACGTACTCTCAAAATGTTCTTTTATTTTTTGAATAATCCTGTTTACATCAAACGTAGGCATAATGATACTTTGCAAAACAGGTCACTGGGTCTCGTTTAATTTAATAAAATGTATAACTATGAAAAAAATCACTCACATTATAATTTAAATTAATTTTTTTTATATATTTTATTTTAGAATTGTTTCAAAGACAGAAATTGTGTGTGTACCGTATCTTTTGAAATAACAGTGTGTTCCGTATCATTTCAACATAACTTTATGAAAATATGCTAAAACATCACTGCATTCACTCGATACATTGGACATAGTAAATATATCAGATTTAACATGTATTTTTCTATGAAATAGCGTCAAAAACATATGACTTGCTAGAAATCGCCTGTTATGCCAAATGAGTGTGTACCGTTCCCCTCGGCCAAGGTAATGAAAAGAAAACTGTACTCGAATGTTCTCAAAAACCATTCAGGGGTTTTCAGAATTTTGATATACCGTGGATAGCTGATATAATTACGGGTACTCTGCGCCTTATCTGATCAAAATCGGTTGAGTAATAAATAAGTTATGAATAAAAAACTTACCTGAATCGGGTGAAAAATCGGCGTGTTCCGTACCCGAAAAGTCACGTGGTATGGCCACATTGTAATTAAAACAGTTGGATTTTCTTATGTTTTACCTGTACCAATAATTTCATAATTTACACACTTACTAATCAATACAAAATATATGGTCTGGGCAAGTTATATACGTATGAGTTTCATTTTTCAAAGTTATTGCCCTTTTCAGCACTTTGAAAATTGTAATGGTAAACCTTAACAGACAAGTTTGATATATCTTAAGTTCTATCTATACTTATGGTTTCATAGTTTCCATACTTATAAGTACATGATATTGCCAGATTATATAACTGTGCCACTGCCATAATTTTGCTATATTGTCAATTGTAGACCATTTTTAACGTTTTGTTTGTTTGTATAATCGAAATATTTACAGTCATGCAAACAGACTGGGATCAATATTGGCAATAATATAGTCACATACACACATCAATAACCAACATACACAAATCAATAACCAACAAGATTTTCGAAATCTTAAAGCAGGGATTGCAAACAAGAACAACTGGTAAACCCAATGATTCAGTGTGGATCACGGCACAAATTAAACTACTCATACGTAAACGTATAAAACTTTTCCATGGAGTAAAACGAACCCAACAGCCTATGCACAAATTAAAGCAATTTCGTAATGAAATTTCTATCTACATTTATACCTGTGGCCAAGCGAAACCATATACAGCAACATGCACAGACACTAACAGACTTATATTGATAACACATCGAAATTTGACTTATCAAATCACTTTTTCTGCAGTCATTTTGTAAAACTATATAATATCTGGACAAATGGAGCGTGAATGATATGAAATTTTGCATGTCAACAAACCTCGGTGGTGGAGTCCTTTTAAGCGTTGTTTATCCGACTTTTGTTTGTACCCCTCTAACAAATAAAAAAACAAACTTTTTTTTCAAAATAGATTGATTGAATTCTGAGATGTGCTGTTTTTAGTGATTGATTCATTTGAAAATATATATATCATAGTTTATGGTAGAAAATATTTCAGGACAACCAACATGTTTTCGTTGAGAATCAACAATCAACTTGTAGAGCCGTATTTCAATCACACTTACCAGATGAAGATTAAGGGCACACAAGCTTTAATATTTTACATGGAACAAGCTGTAATGACACACCGAGACACATTTAAAAGGTAAAATATTCCATAGGTATAACTTTGTAGCCAAAACATGGCAGATGATACTAATATGTATGGTGGCTGATTTGGTATGCTTTTGTGCGACAAGTTGGCGCTAGCGACACACGACAAAGTGTCAAACGGCGCGTTGTCGTCCTGTCTCTAGCGCGGCACGACAAACGGCGCATTGTCGTGCCGGTTGTTGCGATGTCACATTGTCGTTGGGTTCAAATTGAAGGATTGGCTTATAAGCAAAGCGACAGGACGACATCGCGACAACGCACCGCACGACATCGCGCCGTTTGGCGTGCCGCGCTAGAGACAAACGGCAGTGCGACAACGCGCCGTTTGACGCTTTGGCGTGTTTTCGCTAGCAACAGGACAACAAGACGACAGTGCGATAACGCGCCGTTTGGTGCTTTGTCGTGTTGTCGCTAGCGCCAATTAGACACACAAAAGCGTACCAAATCAGCCACCATAAATATGTGTGTATAAAGTATGTTTAATGTATCTTTGTTTGGGACATGAGAATTTAAATGACATAATGGTGTTAGCTTATTTTGTGCAAATTGCAAATGAATAAATTAATAAACAAATGACTTACTTTAAGAAATCTATCAATAAATAAATAAATGAAATAAAACATAAAAAAAGTAAATAAAAATAAGGGGAAAAAATGGATAAAATAAAAAATATAAAAAGTAAATAAAAATAACAAAGGTTTTGGTTTCCGTGAACGACAGTGGTTAATGCAAGGACGGCTTACGCGAATTTGAATTCATTGATACTTAATTTAGAATTTTGAAACATCTGCAAATGCGGTATCATAGACCTTCAATATGACACTTCGATGTCATTCCATGAAAAGCAACATATAGTTCGTCGCGTTTCCGGATAAACATCAACATATACTCCTCTTCCGGCGGCCTGTGTGATATTCATTCTATATGTAAGGATTTGATGAATGCTAGTGGAATATTACTTGTTTTCAGACACCATTTTTCAAATACCACTTTTAACGGTAAGTAACATAATTGAAATAGGTACTCTTACATTAAAATATAAAGAAAACTCTATGAAATGGTAAACTCTTTTTATTTCCAGTTTTAAAGCGACATTTTACAGTCCTTACGGACTCTACATTAACGGTATCAACAATTTGGAAGAAACGTATACTGTCAACAGAACGTTTTGGATGATTACAAACGCATCATTACCGATTGATTTAAGTAATTTTTCTTATCTGAAACCCAAAAACACAGAGCTTAGATTTATAGCATGTAGCAGTTCCTAGCAGGCTTTTAAAAACATATGTCATGCTTATTGGGTTGCTTACTTCCAATGACTTTTATAAAAAGATTGTCAGAGTATGTATTATCAACAGTGTTCTTCTAGTTATATTAATTATGCCCTTGAGGTCAAAATTGGTTTCGGCCTCTGGGTCACCTTACTATATAGACTTTTATAGGAAAATGCAGTAAAGATTGTTTTTAGAACTTTGATATATGGCATGAAGCCTTGCCTAGTGCACCTCTCCAAAAAGTAAATAAGACCATCTTGTGGTTCATTTGGTGTAATACTACGTCATCGCGCACCTGCTGAATGCTCCCACTCAACGATATTCTGCAGAAAATCCGTCGACTCGAAGGTAAAATACAATTTTATTGCAAGAAATAGTAAGAGTATCAAAAATCATTTAGCGTACCAAAGAATGGCTATAGTCCTTGAGATCATTGTAAAAAAATTTATGGATGGATTACGTTTTATAGGCCTGAAAACGGGATATGTGTTTTATTTTCTCTAAATGATCCCACTCGGACTTTTCCCTCGACCTATAAAGATAAGGTTGAAACCCTTCTTGAAAATTATTTGTAACGTACCGGAACATAAACCGAGTCATATTTTCTCATTTTTCTTAATTGGTCCCGAATATTTCTATTCAAAAGTCAGGTTTTTTTTATATTTATTTTATTAAAATGAAAAATGATCCCACTCGGACTCGATTTCATACTATTTCTTGTTTTTTACCATCGAGTCGACGGATTCTCTGCGAGTACGTGGGAACATTCAGCATGCAGGTGCTGACGTAGTATCCTACCATGACATTGATTTGTCCTGAATAGTAAAAATGTCTTCATAAATTTTTTCTCGGTAACTAAAATACTAAAGTCCGATGTTAGTATGTTGCGTCACGTTATTGTTTTCTTCAAATGTTAAATCATACCCCTGGGTCATAATACGTTCCTACCATTGGCATACTAAAATTAGGTAGACTTATATAAAATATATGTTTAGCTTAGATTTTGCACTTAGCATTTTCTAGTGAACCTATCTCTACAAGCGTTATTAAAACCATTATGTGAAAATTGGTCCGCTATTTTAGCTTGCGGTTCTTTAAAAAATATTACATCATGCCCCTGGGATAAAACCTAGACCAGCCCTGTTGTTACTTAGTTTACATAGACTTGTATAGTAAAATGTCCTAAAACATCTTGGAAACTAGAAGGCTCAGAGCTTAGGTGTATGCATGTAGCACCACCTTGTGTTTTTCTACAAAATACATTTATATACATAACGCCTCTCTATTCTAATCATACATGCAACATGATATGATTAATCAATTTCTAAGATCTTTCATTACCTTTGACAGGTGTAAACTTCTATATTCCAACTGCAGGAGATGAAGTGTTGTTAAATTTCACTAGAAATGATTGAATACTGGGACGATTTCAGTGTAACAATCAATTGCCACCTACATTAGACCAACAGAAAAAAGAGGAGAAAATATAAGAAAGAAATATAAGGTTTTATTTAAAGTTTAATGTGACTGCTTGTTTCATATCCAGTTGTACTTGAATAATTGCTAAACGCCATTCTCATTTCGATTTCTTTCATATTAATTACAACCTATAGCATACAAAACATGCACTTGTTAAGATTAATTTTCCAATGACTTAAACTCCGGTTTTCAATTTGTTAGTGATTTTTGATGCATCATAATCAGCCACTGTCTGTTTTCAGCTATTATCTGACGCAAATGTTCTGATCATGAAATAAATCTCCCGAAAAAAGAAGTTTAATGTTGTTTTTTAATAAAACTTGTTCGAGTTGTATTATCCACAGCACAAGCTGAACAGTTTTCGACTGCACGTGAAACTTTCAACTCCATTAACAGTTTCAGTAGCTATAAGTTTGAAAGAAACACTAGTATTAGTTAAAAGCTAATTAGAAAAAAATTAAAACGATTTTTATAAAAAGGCTATAAGGTAGCGACGCAGGAGCGATTATAGTTGTTTAAGACTATTATCGTCTAACTAAATAAGTCAGAAATTCTAATGTAAAAGCATTATCATCGGACGAAAAGTAGTGTTTCAAGCAAAAGCAGGGCACAGACTAACTTGGTTTGAATAAAGTCATTTGTCTTTGTGCTATTTTGCCTAAGAGACATCGAAGCCCATTCACAAGGAAACGACACATATGGGTAAGATAAACATAAATGAAAAAAATAATTAAAACTAGCTTAAATTGGTAGGACTCCTCTGAAAACAAGAGAACGAACTCCTCAATTACTCCAAACAAATTGATTTGTACACCTGTTTGCAAAGTCTCTCCGCCCCGTGTAACTATTCCTCTACACGCGTTTAAACTGTGGTTATGAAACTTAGTAAAGTTTTAAACAATAAACAAAAATGCTGCCCTTGCCATTAACTTCTAATGTCTATTCGAACTCATGACAGTAACAATTATTTTATATTTTGACAGAAAAATAAATAAAAAAACCCTCGATGACATTTTAAATCAATCGGTTCACTGACATTACAATTTTTTATGAAAATTTTGATTATATGTAAATTGAAAATATTTGTTTTGATTGTTGTATATTTTCTTTCATATGTATTTTGATCTGCTAGAAAAATAAATTTTTAACTTGATGCGTTCGGTCCTGTACGGTGAAGCGGAAGTAGGTGCTTAGCTTACCATCAGTCCACAAAGAACACTTGTGAGTGAATAAAAACATAGCAGTTATACGTGAAGTATTACACACACAAAATTCTAGAATTAATTTTGTGCTTAATCAGGGTCATAATCTCCTGGTCTTCTAAACTGTGTGGCAAAATGCAGAGATGCATAAGGAGGCTATTCTAGTTCGTTGGCTCTAGAGTAACAGTAGAACCTAGTCGATGCAAAACCCTTCTAATCTGCAATATAACAAAGTGCGTCACAAGTCTTAGTTATGTTTTGCGAAGTTAGGGGGCATAACGAATCCGATGTCCGGCATCACAATTCCCAGGTAGGAGCTTCACATTCTGCAAATTACATGATTCTAGCAGTAATACATTTGGACATACAACAAACCGGTCTGCATACCGACTGCCTGATAACATGCACACGTGACTGACTGACAGACACGACTTTAGTGTAAATCTATATGCCAAAATGACCACCTCCCCAAAAAATCGGTAGAGGAATAAAAGAAAACAACAGAGACGATCATTTCGAGATGCAATATAAAAGTGTTATGGCGTACAGTGTACATTTTAAAAAAGATGTAATTATATTAACATATTTGCTATGTGTTTTAACATTCTCTTTTTTAAAATACTGTTCTCAAAAAGTAATATAGTTCTCAAAAAGCAATACGTAAGATGCACATCTACTAGTTTTATAAGATTATAACGCAATGCTCTTTTACTTGCTTTTATTTACACCTGAAATAAGAATATAATAATATTTCCATGGAGTATCAGTCAGTGAAATCCAAATGATAGAAAGATCACTCAATGATGGTATTTCACAATATTATCAATATTAGTCAGTGAAATCTTATCAAAAGGAACGCCTGTTAAATAATAATATTTATTTTATACAGTACAGTAGAGCACTTATAAATGAAATGTTGAAAAATATTGTTAAAATGCGTATAGTTTTATTATCCGTTTTTTACTGTGAACATTTTATTTTTACACTACATGGGAAAGTGTATATAATAAACAGAAAATTCAAGTTTTATCTATGAATACAGGATTTATTTTCATCTTCTGGTATAAAGATGATCACATTTCACTCGTGGCAACTGCCACTCATGAAATATTTATTTATTTTCATACCACTCAATGTAAATAAATCCTATATTTATAGAAAAACCTATAATATCCTCTATATCTTGTTTTTTTTTGTCTCGGAATGGCATTAAAATATTTCCAATAGCAATTAGTGAAATCTTTTTAATAGAAACATCAAATAACCCGATATATCTTTATATTTTTATCTACACTAGGGCATCACAATATCACCAATACTAAATAGTGAAATTAAATAGTAAAATCAAATAGGCTATAAATCTTTTTCTTTTTCTCTACACTATTGTATGATATTTCATCTCACACATATATTAAAATGTAAATAATAAATTCCAGCATTTGTTACACGTCAATAGTAATCATTATTCAATCATATCTTACCAAATAAGCATCCTTATCATTTCCCAAGTTCTAAAACAAAAATTTATACCAAATAAATATTGTATTAAGTCTAGCCTCAACTTTGTTGTCAGAGTTCAGATATCAAATAATGCTAAATAATGGACTATGAATTACAAGGAACAATCCTATTGCGATATGCTGTGATATTTACAGAGATATTGCAATATCTTGGGATACATTGTCAACTGACTTAAATTTCTTGACTTGAAAAATCAAGTGTAAGACCCACAGAACATTGAGGTAAGAGTTATGTCCTTAAAATGCGTGCGTGAGGGACCCATCTATACAATATATTCGCATTGTGATAAAAGCGGCATTACTAATGAACGAGTATATACAAGCAATTATCATTTGAGTCAACTTATATGCAAAACACTTCTATCTTTATTAGGATTTTTAGGGGTTTTTTTTATTAAAACTTCATAGCTTCAGTTTGTTGCGATATCTGAAAATATCATTTGATACTGAAAAAAATGTGGTATCCATTTAATTGTACACCCGTAAATGCTATATATATTTTATCTACACTTTGGTACATCGCAATACTGTCCTAAGATGATAATTTGGTCTTAACGGTACATGGGAAAGTCGAAAAACGGGGTTATCTGGATTATTATCCGATATCGTAAAAGTAAACACTTACATATACGTATATTTAGCATTATTCTTACAGAATCGTTTGTGTATTACCATTATGGCTCTGTCGGTAGGTCGGAGTAATTGTAACTATTAGTGTTTTGTACTCATAGGTTAGAATCCCACTTAGTGTCATTTCATAACCACAGTTTTTTCTTCTTACTCTGTTTTTTCATCATTATTCTTTATTTATTTTTCGTTTTCCTTTTTGTTTTCTTTTTATAATATATATTTTATAGTATATATATATTTATTTTTATTTCCATTCTATTTTCTTTTTGTATTTTTTTGATCGCAGTGTAATAAAATATTCGATATCATATTCATTGTATGTATATGAAAAAACCGGTCAAATTTGTTTTCTGAACAATTGGCTGTGCTGAAGTAAACAAAAAATATGTACCATGTTACCAGTAGTCGAACTTCTGCCTGTACGGGTAAAACACACTGCTGTCACGGTTGCTCTACCTACTGCACTAACAAGTCATATGATAATATGTAGTTTTATTTTCATTTTTATAGGTTGTGGCATTGATCTGCCTAACCTATTTTTCGCATTGTTATTGGTCTTTGTTATGTAAACAAAGGCTCAAGTTATCATCCTAGGACAGTACTGCCAATACCAATTATCGTCATCACATTGATAGAAACACCACAGCTTGTAGTATAATTGTTTGATTCTGACATTGTACCATTTGGAAAGTTTTCGTCCTTAAGGTAGGTGTCACAGGGTCAGAAAAATGTGCAGCCCGATCGGGACTCGAACCCGGGACCCTCGGAATACCGTTCCGCGGCTCTACCGACTGAGCTATCCGGCCGCTTACACATCTTCTCCCCTAAATAGTGAACAGTTCTGAACCGTGACATACTTCACCACAATATTGAAATTCGTCCTCGAATTTCACAAAGCTACAGAGCAATGCTAATTGAACTGTGAGCTAGATGCAGTCACGGCCACACGTTGGGCGCCAAATTCACAGGGTGAGAAAAATGTGCAGCCTGACCGGGACTCGAACCCGGGACCCTCGGAATACCGTTTCGCGGCTCTACCGACTGAGCTATCCGGCCGCTTACACATCTTCTCCCCTAAATAGAGAACAGTTCTGAACCGTGACATAGGTCACCATAGTTTCATCATAACAGTCCCATCTGACCCCGCCGCGTTATGTTTGCTGTACCAGCATAGTCAAAGACACTGTCGGGGTAGCAATCTGTAAATGTATGAGATGAAAATTAAAAAAATTATCCCTAAATATCGCGCTTGAATTATATATTTACTTGATTTTATAAAGTATCCACAAAATCTTTTCTTCCACGCCAGAGAGGTAACTGGATTAGAAGTCATCGACTCTAACCCCTCGACCACGGAGGCGGTCGACTTTGTATTGTAATACAAACGAGTAATAGCGACTCCTGAGCTTTGGTAAGTTCATTATTTTTATAAATTTAGGTGAGAAACGTTTTCGAAATCCATACTTGACCTAGCCTATTATATGCACGGTAACTTTTACCAAGTGCATTGTCCTACGTTTTATGGTTTTCGAGAACATTGTTTGAATTGTGCGAAAATTGCAAATGCAGCTTTAGTAATTCACACGAGATCGTATAAATTTGTACCAAAATGAAAGGAAACAAGCTTTCTTCCTTTACTAAAACACAAAACCAAGTATAATATTGACATGATTTATAGTAGAAGTCCATGAAAATTGTAGGGTAAACAAGTTCTTTGCAGATATATAGAAAGTAACACAAGCAATTTCCAGATAGTGAGTCACACAAAAACAAAATAGTAATTTCCTTTTTAAATAATTCTCACTGAACTACTTGACCGCTGTACACTGGTTATCTGTTATAATAACTGACAATGACATTATGCTCATATTTTCATTGTCAAGTTGAGCTGAATTGACTTTATATTTCAAATAATTGACTGTTTAAAT